GACTTATTACAAAATGTCTTAAGAAGATTACATTGCAGTGAAGGAAAACACAAATATATTCTCAAAATAAAAATATAAGGTAGTGGCACATGCCTTCCCAGCACTTGGAAGGCAGAAGCAGGTGGATGGATCTCTGTGAGTTCAAGGCCAACCTGGTCTACAGAGGGAATTCCAGGACAGGCTCCAAAGCTACATAGAGAAACCCTGTCTCGAAAAACCTTACACACACACACACACACACACACACACACACACACACACACACCATACAATGTTTAATTAGGTTAAGTGGAAACATGTAAACAAATGTTACACATGTTAAATACTAATTTAACCAACTACTGTCCATCAATGATCAGTAAATTATGCCTTCATTGATACTTTTACTCTAAGTATGACACATTGTTTTTAACAGGTGGCTACAAAATTTTAAGAAACTCTCAACCCAAAGAACATGTTTAAAATAACCATTGATTATGAAGTATGAAAAAGAAAATCTGTCTGAAATAATAACTGATGTATGTCCATAAAACTCTTAATCATTGTCTCAAAACAGAGGTGTCAGACATACTAACCCATCACCCTAGCTAATTGGCAACTGAGGCAGGAGTATCACAAGAACCCAGGAATTAGAAAGCAGCCAGAGCACCAGGGGAGGATTCTCTATCCAGCGAACAGAGACCATCACTGTTCTAAGTGCCCTGTTTAATACAATAAGACAAATATAAAAGTATTTTGTGGTAAGTAAAATGATGTTGTGCTCTACCTAAAATCCCCAGGATAAACTGAAAAACTAATATGATTAACAAGAACATTTATTAATACAATTGAAAACTAAGTAAATATTTAAAAAAAAAATCAATAGCTTTCCGAATAAATGACAATGGAAGAAATATGAAATTTAAGAATATTTATTCACAATAGCAACAAAAGAATGTTAAGCATCTAAAGGTAGTGTGAGACAGGTGTTGTGGCCCACATCACCTGTGAGAAAGAGGCAGGAGAATCAGGAGTTCGAGGCCATCTTCAGCTGCACAGCAAACAACTTAGAAAAGGATTGGTCTCCAGCTTGTCTCTCTTTCCCATCCTCAACCAGAACCTACAATGGTGTGCTGAGAGGAAAAAGAACACTTGAATAAAGTTTATATACCATATTCTTGGATGAGAGACTGAATATTATGTTAAAGTATCTAGTTTGCATGGATTAATGTTTAATGTCCAGTCAATTATAGCCCCGCCCCAGAAAAATTCTAAAATCTTCAACGTTTTCTCAAAATTGGGAAGTGACTGCAACAGACTGAGAGAAGGAGGTAAGATTTCATTTGGATTAAGAAGAAAACAGTCTTGCAAACCTACACTGATGGAGCAAGGGCCATGTACACATACATAGGAAAAGTCTAGAAGAAAATTACTTTAGAAATGTTATCTCTTAGTGGTAGGGTTATGGATGGATGTGATTTTTTTTTCACTGTCCTGTTGTATTTGCCCAAAGTTATACACTAACTACTTACTGATATTAAAAACAGAGGTTATACAAATTTTAAAAGAAATATGCAAACAAAAATAGAGCTTGGGATTTAGAGCAAGAGTGAATACAAATAAATAAATAAAATGGTATATATTGCCAAACTCAATACAGAACTGAACTAAACTGTATTGATGGACTAAGCATATGCCATGGCATATGCTTATTATTAAATCTTGTGTTGAGACTAGGCAACCACCCCCATATAATCCATTGTGCTTGTTAATCATTGACTTCTTCATATATGCTTGTTAACCATTAGCTTGTTGATTATTGATTTAAAATTTTTCAACGTAAGTCAGTGCCATATAGTTAAATTTGAAGAAAAAGAAAAGAACTATAGATGAGAAAAACAACCAAAGTTTTCCCACAATGAAGATGTCTACTTGTGAGGGGAAGGACCCACAGGGCTGCTGAAGCAGGACATGTAAAACTAAGTCAGAGAGAATGAGGTAAAGGGCTGCCACAGAGGAAAGCAGGTTTTGTGTGTTCTCTGATGGCCTGGTCAAGAGTTCCAAGGCTCGACTTCATTCCATTTTACAAGGATCGAGGGAAATCGCCTATGATCTCCACTCACTGTCAGATGGCACCGTCACCACAAAAACGGTGTCAAACATGGACCTTGATCTCCAGGACCTTTCAGTAAGCTTGTAGAAGCAAAGATAACACATAAACAAGCAGAGTAAAGTGCTACAGGAGAGGCAGGGAAACACGGGGACACTGAAGGAAAACCTTAGGCCATGGAGCACACAGAGAAGACTGTTCTGTCCCAGGAAGCTTGTTGTAACTTGTATGTTCATCTCTGTACCCTTCATTCCCACTTTGTTGTTACACAAGCAAGCAGCAGCAATCCCACAGGAAGGCCTGACTCCAGGCTAGAAGTGGGTCAGACACTGAGCCCTTGTCTTGAACAATAAATCCGTATCAAATCACATTTTTCTTCTTTTTATCCTAGGAAGGGTTTCATATCACTTTTTTCCACACCTTAAATTCATGACAATCATGAACCAAGCTTGACATGCTAAGATGGTTTTCCATCAGCTAACATTAACATGAATTTGTCCAAACTGTAACAGTAAACAGCTTTGAAACACACACACACATACACACACACACACACTCAGTGATCCAGCAGGAAAGTAGGCTGTTCATGTGGAGGGTTCAAGATTCCTCATCAACAGGAGATTGCATCAAAAAGTTCAAGGGGAATCAAATTATTCTTTTGCCTTTGATTGTAATTCAGAGGCAGATGGAATTCATACTAAGATGGAGGAGATAAAACCTTTGTTTTTTAAGAGATACCAAAGTCCCAATGTGGTCAAAGATCACTCCAATAGAGAGGGGTTCAAATTACTCAGGAATCCCACTGGCTCCCACAGATAAATATGACATGCAGCAACCAGCCATAGATTGCTTTAATAAAAATCAGAACAATACAACTCATAACAACAGGTTCTTCATTATGTCCTACAGGAGTTAAAACTATAGGAGTTGATGCATTCTTTTTACAGTGAATGGATTTAATGATCCTGGATATTTCTGTAACATGATGAAATCGAACCCTGGAGTTGGAATTTAAGCACTCCCTGGATGAGGAGGATGCTTGGTCTCACATTCTGTCCTTGTGTCAGACAATAACTCTGAACATAAAACACCCTCGAAGTGCACTTGAGTTTCTTTGGTAGAATTTCTTTGACACCTGTTAAATTTTAAACAGCCCTGTGAAAGGCATTTTCGTAACTATTCAAATGACTCTTGATTCCTTCCTGAGCAGAGATGCCTTGAAAGCTTGCAATTGAAAATGCTCTGCCTGGCTCACCAGTTTTTCTCCCCCTTGGCATTCTTCCTCCTCTTCCCTTCTCACACTGGCTTACTCTGAAGTGGACACCCTACTTGGAATGAAATGGAAATGTGATAGGCTAGCCGGAACCTTACCATCAATTATTTTGATAAGTAGATATGATTGGAGTACAGTGTGCTTTTAAGATAAATTTCATCTGAAATCCACAGTAATTTAAGCCTGATTCTAAATAGATGGTAACAAATCTTAAAGCTATGTCTTCATGATTGAAATAACCCAACGTCCAACTGCTCTATTTCAACCACCTTAGCTACAGATGTCCATCACAGAGTACAGGCTGTATTTATAAAAATCCAGTGTCAAGTCAGCCATGGCTTGGAAAAGCTGGCAGTCCACACAGAAATACTTATATATTCTTATATTCATACATAAGAGCCGACAATTCCACAATTACATTGCTCAAAAAAAAAAAAAAAAAGAAAAAAAGAAAAGAAAAAAAAAGCCCCTCTGGTAAAAAAAAAAAAAAAAAAAAAAAAAAACAAAAAAAAAAAAACACTTAAAACACTTATTTCTTGACTCTATGGATCCCTTTGAGGACTACTGTTTCCAGGATGGCGTTTCCACTGCAGAGAAGCAAGATACAAAGATAATATCCTGAGGAATGTGCAGCCAGGATTCAGACCTTGGCTGTGTTGTTTACTGGCTGTGTGACTCAGCAAGTTCTCAATTTTGTTTTCCTCCTATGTAAATGAGGTGTAAGAACAGCCCTTGCCTTATGCAACTGTCAGGAAGACTAAAGGAAGCCAAGCCTATGTAAAATAAAAGAACCTGGGAATGTTCACTAAGTAACATTAGTTTTCCCTTAATATGAGGATGCTTGTGTAGTCAGGCTAGAGATATTTGTTGTTGTTGATAGCATGTAAGTAATTTGTATTTTGTTTGTTTGTTTGTTTTTTGAGACAGAGTTTCTCTGTATTGCTTTGAAGTCTGTCCTGGAACTAGCTCTGTAGACCAGGCTGGCCTTGAACTCACAGAGATCCACCAACCTCTGCCTCCCTAGTGCTGGGATTAAAGGTGTGTGCCACCCATGCCTGGCTAATTTGTATATTATTAATTTAGAAACTTATACAATCAAAAAATGTAATCTAAATTAACTCAATAGTTAAAATGACTTTATTGTAAATGAGACTATATTATAGTAAATGAGACCAAATTATGATTCTAACAAATTCATTTCCAATTTTATCAGGAAAATAAATGGGAAGAGGCTTTGGGAACAGAAAGCCAATTTGTTGTGCCCCACTCCCTACCCCCAGTAAACTATCAATTCTATAACCTAATGTTCCCATACCTGGCAATTAGTAATTACATAACCTTTATGGCCAGAAAGAGTGAGTGGCAGCACATATCCAGGAATTCAAGTTCTGTCCAGTAGCAAAAAATAGACTAACTGATCACGTTAAGCTATCATCAAGTGACAAAGTTGTAGAGGCTGTTAAAACTCAAGGGCATACAGCCATATTTTTCTGTCTCTGCCTATTGCTTCAGGTTTTCCCAGATAGCAAGCAAGAGGGAAGAGCACAATAGAATTCAGACTTTTGAGTTCCTGTGACTTTCTTCCTTCACTAAGTACCCAGGCTCTGGCCACCGGCTTCACGCCAGTTCCCTCGCGGCATGGCCCCGAAATGGCAGTCTGTGCTCCTGCCTCAGTCCAAGAAACCCAAATCGGTTCCTGCCGCGAAGCTGAAGGACAAGTCTGCTGCCTCTCTCGGCCTGCCGAAGGGAGAAAAAGAACAGCAAGAAGCAACTGAACACATTGATGAAGCACAAAATGAAATAGACAGACTTAATGAACAAGCCAGTGAGGAAATTTTGAAGGTAGAACAAAAATATAACAAACTCCTCCAGCCATTTTTCCAGAAGAGGTCAGAATTGATCGCCAAAATCCCAAATTTTTGGGTAACAACATTTGTCAACCATCCACAAGTGTCTGCACTGCTTGGGGAGGAAGACAAGGAAGCTCTACATTACTTGACCAGAGTTGACAGAATTTGAAGACATTAAATCAGGTTACAGAATAGATTTTTATTTTGATGAAAATCCTTACTTTGAAAACGAAGTTCTCTTCAAAGAATTTCATCTGAATGAGAGTGGTGACCCATCTTCAAAGTCCACTGAAATCAAATGGAAATCTGGAAAGGATTTGACAAAATGCTCAAGTCAAACGCAGAATAAAGCCAGCAGGAAGAGGCAGCCAGAGAGCTTCTTTACCTGGTTCACTGACCATTCTGATGCAGGTGCAGATGAGTTAGGAGAGGTCATCAAAGACGATATTTGGCCAAACCTCTTGCAGTACTATTTGGTTCCTGATATGGATGATGAAGAAGGAGAGGCAGAAAATGATGATGAAGAGGAGGAAGGCTTGGAAGATACTGATGAAGAAGGGGATGAAGATGAAAGTGAAGAGGATGAAGATGATGACGAAGGGGAGGAAGGAGAGGAGGATGAAGGCGAGGATGACTAGCACAGAAGTCTGATGGATTCCAACCCTCTTTTTTAAAATTTTCTTTTATTTTTAATTTTCTCCAGTCCTTGGGAGCAAGTTGCAGTCGTTTCCCTCCCCTTCCCAATCCCTCTTGTGCTCAGTTGCCCGTTTTTTGAGGTCTCTTCTCAACACCATGGTTCTCAACTTATTTGGGGGTGGAAATACCTTAAACAAAATACAACGAGAAAAGAATTTACACTCTTCTGTTCTAAATTCATTTTTTTTTTTATCTTTGTCTCAAACTATGGATTCAACACCGCCAATGTGTTCTGTGGGGGAAAAAGAAAAGCCCTCTGGCTCCCTGGGCTCTGCTGGAGGCTGGGGGTGCTAAGCCCCTGTGTAATAGTGCGTAGAATTCTAGCTTTTTTCCTTTCTCTGTATATTGGGCTCAGAAATTACACTGTGTCTCTATGTGAATACAGACAGTTAGCATTTACCAACATGTATCTGTCTACTTTCTCTTGTTTAATAAAAAGAAAAAGAAAAAAAGGGAGGTATAGAAGGTCAGTAAGGGTGGGTTTGAGGTGTGGGGGGGGTAAGTGGGCATTGTGACAACATGGCTTCTCCTTTGGCATGTTTAACTGTGATGTTTAACAGACATCCTTGCAGTTTAAGGTGACACTTTTAAAATAAAATTCTCTCCTAACGATGAAAAAAAAAAAAAAAAAAAAAAAAAAAAAAAAAAGAAAGAAAGAATTCAGACTTTACTATGAGAATTTTAGAAATTCAGAATTTAAATGCTCTTTTGGAAAACACATGAAAAAAAATTTAAAGCAAACAACGAACATAAGTAAAATCTCAGTAAGATTCCAAGAACAAAGAAAAAATCGAAATATCTTCCAAGAAAAAAAAAAAAAAAAAGAATCACTTAAACGAACAATAGCAAAAAAAAAAAAAAAAAAAAAAAAAAAAAAAAAAAAGCAGTTTTCCCTTATTTTTTTATGTCAGTAAGTCAGTAAGACTCAGTACAACAGTGCTTTCAAAGGCCAGGGGAAAAGATTGTGAATCTAGAGGTAAGAGATATTTGAAAAGGATGGAATAATACAACAGGATGAGGCATGGGGAAATACAGTTAAGTCTAAACTATTTGGGATAAGTATAAATCTCAAGCCATAATTAAAACGTGAGTCATGGGCCTGCTGGATGGCTCAGCAGGTTAACGCTCAGCTTGATAACCTGAGTTTGATTCCCCAAACCCACACAATAGGAGAGAACTGACTCCTGAAAGCTGTTCTCCAACTTCTACAAGTGTGCTCTGGCATGCATGTACACACACACACACACACACACACACACACACACACAAATAAATAAATATTTCTTTAATGAGCCATAAAGAGTAATGGGGTCCTTCTCCTTTGGAGCCCCTCCCACTTCTGGGAGTTCTTTCTCAAGTTTCCTTAAGAAATCTATGCCTACTCTGAAAACACAAAAATAGAAACAAAAAAGAAAAGAAGAAAGGAAAAATAGACTTAAACATTAATAACAACCAAGAAAATTACAAATGATTAAATCAGATAAAGTAGGGAAGAGTGGAACAGCATGTCTACTACCTGGTCATCTTTGGGGAAGAAGATTCAGTCTATTTTCTATGTTGCTTAAAACATACACCTGTCCAGTTGGGTCTGTACAGACCTGGGAAGGGCTCCGTCTGTATAAACATGGGAGGTGAGGTAAGGGCCACCATGGCGCACCAGTTACCACAGCGTGGCTCAGAATCTAAATGGATGCTCCCACACCAGGGACTCGGCTTCTAGAGATTCAGCTGTAGAAATCACATGTGTGAATACACTATTTAATATTATATAGTGAATAAAGAAGGCCAATCTGGGTGTTCTAAATGGAATTGATTTACAAGGTCTATACCCTTTCCCACGAAATAGCATGTGGTTATTAAAAACACAAAACATTTATTAACACACATATGGAGACATAGTGTGCTAAAGACAAAGGTATTATGTGATTTTAATTTATGAAGTTTAAATATATATATGTATATACATACATATATATATATACACACACATACAGGGAAAGATGCATGTTTGTGTTTACAATGCATAAAAAATTGTAAGCAAAATGAGAGGAACAGAACTGATGAGACATGGCAAAGGGATTTTTAAAAATTTCATTGAATAAAACTTTCTATATTGAATGTTTTCCGCAATGGATCTATTGTTTTATAATTTTATAAGCAAAAAATGACCATATAGTGTACTTTACTAATGAAAAAATGTACTTGATAATTAAAAGTCTACAAAACCAATCTACTTGCGACTCAGTGAAGACGAGATTACACCTTGAGGAACAGAGTGCACCTTGGGTCGTGTGTAGCAATGTCAGCATTCAGTAAAACCTAGCTATTAGGCCAGAAAGGCAGGAAGGCAGGAACAAGGGGGAGGGGGAGGAGAAGAAAGGAAACATGAGGGAGTGGGGGGAGGGGTCAAGATACTGGATCCAGAAGATCCAGTCTCACTAGCAGAAAATGTCCTCTTTCAAACCAGTGTGACTTCAGTTCATTGTAGGCTTACATTCTAAGAAATGTGGTGTTTGTCTCTGAACAGATTAAGGGTCTCTTCAAGTAAACCTTCCATCTGGACGGGCAGCTAAGAGCGGCTAAAGGGAGAGAGGCTCGGATACAGTCTGTCAGGGTAGCAATTATTTTACCTTTGGGAACAGAAACTATTTTTACTCAAAAGAAGAAACTTTGCGGAGACAGCATTTTTCCTAGCTTCATAAATGCTGCACACAAAAATGATTTGCTACAGAAAACATAAAATAAAGTGGACACATATCGGTTGCCCTAGAAAAGGGACCCGGAGACAGCAGCGGTCCAAATGTTTGTCAGGCTCTCTTCTCCCCACGTTTATTGAACTTGCATTCAGTGACCTGATAAAAGGGAAGAAAAAGTGGAAAATGACATCATCCGGGCCTTCAAGTTGCCGACAGAAGGGTGAAAGATGAAAGCACCTAAGTGGTTAATTACAGAGCAATTTGGGGATGTCTGTAATAGAGGTAAATAACACAAAGTGCATTCCAACTTGGCTACTTTGTGGGCGCTGCAGTTTTGGGCAAGTTCCTTAACCTACCCTCGCCTCAGTTCTCACATTCAGAGAGCAGGTCTCAGGATGACACGGTATTAGGGTATTAGAATTACACTAAGTCCTAACAGTATTCTGGAGTCTGAATGAGATAACAGAGGCAGTCCACCCACAAGTAGGAAGACAGTGGAAGCTAGCTGTTACTCTTTGGGAAAGCAGCAAACTGTGAGTCAGAGTGTGCACCCTGGGTACAGACTGTCTGAGTTTGAAATTTTACCTTGTGTGACTTATTATGCGGAGTCTTAGGTTCTTTGCTCAAAACAGGTAGATTATGGGAGCCCCAGACCCAGAAGTGGTTTTGCAGGCCGAATGAGCCAATCTGCATGCAAGATTTGGGACTAGCTAGGGGCACCTAAGAATTCATGAATATAGGTCGTTACCGCTATCAAAATGCTTCGGACATGAAAAGGAAATAACCCTTCATGAGAGTGATGGAGAATGTGTAGCAAAAGAGCTGTTGTGGGATGACTAGCAGGCATCCTCCAAGCCAGATGATGAAAACAACGTGTGAAACTGCAGAGAATTCGAGATCCGTGATCAGAAATAATGGCAGCGATTGATCACTATAATGCCTGTTCCAAAGTGGTGGAGGAAGACGTGTTAAAGGCTTTAGGATGTAGGAACTGGACGTAGGCTAAGAAGTCGGGAGCCAGAGAACTTCATGGGCAACCCCGGGAGCCGGAAGAAACCAGAGCTGAGCCAGAGTGCAATGTGAGCAGTGCATCAATAGATCCCCCAGAAAGAGAACATCAAAGGGCAGGAGGAAACGCCAAAGGAAACCCACGAAGAAAGCTGAGAGGGGCAGGAGCCGGTGAAATAAAAGAGGCTGAGAAAGGAAAGAGTTTCAATAAGGACGAGCTGGTCAACCGTGTCAAATGTTGCATAAATGTCAAGTAGGATGACAAGGGAAAGTGGGGCCATTGAACCAGCCAATTGGGAGGAGGCTGGCAGGAAAGTATTTTTAATTGAGTGGTGGCTGGTGGAAGCCAGACTGTAATGGGTTGAGGAATTAATGAGATGTGAAGACTCTAAGTGGAGGCCACTTTGAAGAAGTTTGGTGAGTAAAAAGAAAGAAAGAAAAAGAAAAGAAGGTAAAAGGAGACAGTCCACAGAAGCCAGAAGACACTAATTTTTAAATGTCCAAATAAAATTCACATTTTGTTGGCTTTTTGTTTCCCTTTGTTTTTACACAAAATGAGGGTGGGGGACATTAGGAGGCGTTTAACTTACCACCAAGATCAAACAAACAAACAAACAGCAAAAACCAACCTTCAAGGAGAAAATGAAGGAAGAAGAGGAACTCAATGCTTAAATGGGATTAGGGGATTGAGATAAAGTTAGACCCAACACAGAAAATTAGAAACCAGCAAACTTTAAATGCTAGAAAATGAAGATTCCAGAAAAAAAAGAAAGGTGAGTCAGGACAGCCTTGTGGGATTTGTTTAAAAACAAGAGGCAAGTTTAGTTGACTCTGAAGAAAATGCTGGAACATAAAAGCAGAGCAGAGCCTTCTGTCCTTCAATCTGAATATGGGCCAGGGCAAACTCAGAGCATGGCTGTTAGACTCCTGCTCTGTGCTAAAAGAGGCCTTATACATGAGTCCTAGGAGGATGAACATGAACACTGTTGACAACCCCCAAGCTTCCATTGTAGCCTGGACCATGGTCCCAGTTGGCCAGCCAGACACTGTCCTAAGTGTCTATCTCATGCAGAGGCTGCCAAAAACTACACCCACTCTAAGCAAGCCAGAGGAGTGTTGAAAATGGCCACTGGGCAATAAGAAGCATTGAATTTTGGAAAAACAGAGAACCCTGAATTATTTTCTTCTTGAAAAATCTTAGAAAAGTTTGCTAAGTTCATTAGTTCTTCAGCCACAAATGAGTCCTTATGGAAACCATGAAAAAATCACTTTGTTCCATGTATGTCTGTGTGCCCATATACATGAAATAAGGAGGATTAGC